GGGTGATTTTTCCCCTCTCAATTTTTAGGGTGAAGATGGTTTCCCTGGCTTCAAAGGTGACATGGGCATCAAAGGAGACCGGGTGAGAGTCTGGGACCTGTGGGAACAGTCCAGCAGCTCCTGGTGATCCAGGAGAAGCCTGTTCCCAGCATGGAACCATCTCCTGCTCCCTGTGTGACAAAGTGACACTGCTGTCCCCTGTGCTGGAGCTGGCAGTGCCACAATCCATGTCAACAGCTCAGATTTCCCAATAATTCCCATAATTATCCTGCAGATGCCCAGCTCAGCCCTCAATCAGACACTTCCCAGGGCTTGCTTTGCACGTCCAGGTGAAGGTGCAAGGGTGGAAGGTGAAAGGGCTGCAATCAGAGCTGATGAAGGCTGGTTTTGTGGAGATATTCCTGGTGTGGATGGGATAATTTTGGGGATTTTGTGGGATAAAACCCCGGGGCTTTGGTCACACTCCACAATTTCATCTCCCTGAGCCTCCTGCTGAAGCCCAGCTTTCTCCCAGAGCAGCTCCATGGAATATCTGCTGCCAGCAAACAGAGGATCTGGCACCTGCCTGTCTAATTAACCCTTCTCTTGTAATTAACAGGGGGAAATTGGCCCCCCTGGCCCCCGGGGTGAGGATGGGCCCGAAGGTCCCAAAGGTCGCTCTGGTCCCAATGGAGATCCAGGTCCTCTTGGCCCTGCTGGAGAGAAGGTGAGCCCAGGATGGGAATTCTGTGTTTTACACCAAACCCACTATTTTGGGGTGTCTCAGGGGAGTGAACAGTTTTAGGGCAGAGCTGGAAAGAGGAGCTGTGGGAGTTTTGTGTGAAGGGAGGCCCGAGGCAGGTGCGTTTAGGGCAGCCACATCAAGGCTTTGGTCTTTTTGGGGTTGTTTGGGTACAGAAAAAAAGATCAGAGGGGAATAAGTGGAGAAATGGAAAGTTTAATTTAAATCAGTCTAATTTCAGTAAAACCACAAACATTCCTAACTGGTTCCCAGCACAGTTACAGTGCTCACTCTGCATCTCCCCACTGGGATTCCCTCAGTGCCCCAAACTTTAATTCCAACCAGGTGCCATCTGCCCTGCTCCTCCCTGCCCTTGGCATCCCCCCTTCCTGCTCCAACTCACTTTTCCTTCTTTTCCAGGGAAAACTCGGCGTGCCAGGACTGCCTGGGTACCCGGGCAGGCAGGGCCCCAAGGTAACGGGCACGGGGTGGCATGGCATGGCATGGCATGG